GAGCCACACTATCATAATTATATTGTGCATATCGGAGATGAAAAAATGGCTATCGGCCCGTTTTTTGCGTATTGGGCAGAAATAATTGCGTATCGCGCCCGATACGCAAGTTTGTACATGGGGAGAACCCTGAGTACATGTGTGTGGCTCTATCAGACATTCCCCTACACAAGGTACCGGTATATCCACAACCATGCATGCCATGCCAACAAACCACCCTCTGTGTACTTTATGGACACCTTCCAGTCATGAAAACTCTCATTTCTGGTTTCTTTGTGGCATACCTCTTCGTCTCGTCTCTTCAGATCAGCTTGGACCTCTTCCAACTCCTCTTGCCCCTCATCAGCGGACATATTCCACCCCTCTCGCAGCATCCGTAGCCCGAACAGCGCAAAGAGGAAGGTGGAGGCATAGTAGGTGAACCAACGAGGAATGATGGTGGTGGCATAGCCGAGGAGAGCTGAAAGAATCAGTCATTCAAACCACCGCTTGACTGACATTTTTCTATGTGTACTTTGAACAGTTTTATTTGGATGCGCTCTCGCATAGACCAGCCCAAGGAAATGTCACACAATCATGGTACCCCACAGCATGCTGCAGAAATGGCACTCAATGGGTCATTCCGTGACAATTCAAATGCCCTCTGGTGTGACCCAACTCAGTTTTGCCTGTAAAAAATTACGGTTACCTTGACGTACCATGCAGAGGGAAATCAAGTTTCAGCTTGATGTCCTCAATTGTTTGCTTGTTATAACTTCTGAAAGTTGGAGAACCATGTCACATTTCTGCACCCATAAAATTACTTTAGTCTGTTTTGATAGCATCTTTGAAGGTCTATAGTTTCTAAAAAGGTACAAAGTACATGTACACTAACTGTGGACAAAAATGGTATAGCTACAAACTGCACTGTCAAATCAAGGCACATGTAACAGTTTGTGTTGTTAGACTCACCTGACAAAGCAGTCATGACAGCAAGAGCTCCCAGCGCTCCCACAAAGACCGTGATGCGGGCGTGCCTCATGGCCATGATGGCGGCGATGAAGAACGTCTTGTCGCCCAGCTCACTGACTATGATGACGGACAGTGACGCTGCAAAGGCGTGAACAAAGCCAAGGTTGACGCCCTTCTTGGCAGGGACAGCCATCGCCATATGTGCATCTGGCAGGTTGACTGCATCTTGGTTCTCATGTACTTTTTCCCGTGGTAAATTTTCCTGAGTTATTTAAAAAAAAAGACAGGAGAGAGGGATCATGCCTGGACACTATGGATTTCCAATATTTGTGTTTTGTTTTGGGGGTTTTTTTGCACACGGGGTCTGAATTTTTTCATGCATAATTTTCATTCAGTCATAAGTACTTTTTGGTTTGAACAGAAATCTGATTTTGATCGGTGTGCTTCATGAGGGATTTACTGGAAGCTTTTTAAAGTACAGAACCTGCTTCCTTCTTTCTGACAAAATGTCACTACAGAGTATATGTAATAAGCCAAGACCAATTTCACAGATTTGGTTATGCTGTTACCAACATCATTGCTAATCGTAACTCAAGACCAAAGGAAGTTTTACACAGAAAGTGAAAGTCAAATTAAAAGTCATGGTACTACCAACTATTTCCAGTCATTTTCTCAAAAACCTCTTTTTGCTTAAGAATGACCAGATCCTGCAATATGTATTCGTACATTTGGGTCTGAGACAACTCTGGCTGGATATGTACATGCAGCAAATGCTTTGAGCATGCATATCTGTACATGTACTTGCAGTGCACCCAATGTACATGTAAGGCTTGTGTTCCAAGTTGTCTAAGAGGGGTGGCTAACTCACAAGCATTGATAATTCAACGCCAAATCACAGTAGGGCTGTGCATTTGTACCTGTGCAGTACAAGAACCTGTATCCTGCATGAACTGAAGTCAAACATGAGTACTCACGTTTATGTCAAAGAAACTCCATTTCAAAATACAAAGGTAACAGTATTTTGTCTGATGCAAAACACTGTACAGGCAGCATTGAGCATACTGTCAAAAGAAATCTTGTCCAAGAGTTCCACGCAACTCAGTTTTTACTTTTATATTTCCCAATAAAAAAGTTTTGAAACCTTTCCTTTTTCCTTGTTTGGAAATTTAAGTGGGTTATGTATGCAGGGGTGAGATTGTCCAATGATAAAAATACCTGGAAACAGCTGAAAAAAGGCATAAAAAAGCTAAACTGTGAAAATCTCCTATACTTTTGTTCTCAGCCAGTGAGGAAAAAAAGCTGAAATACAAAACAAAAAAAGCTGAAATCAGCTACAAAGCTGAGAGATCTCATCCCTGTGTATGGGTGCCGAGTCCCATAATTTGGACCTAACCCGTAACATCAGGCCCATGGGCACCCAGTTCTGATGCATAGCAGAGTTTGAATGTGTGTCTCCGACCACGATACTCACTTGTCCATCGTCCTTTGCAGCATTCCCAGCGACCTCTTGCACCTTCTCAACCTTCTGCTCCTCATTCTGTCGGGCCAGCTTGTGGGCGTTGGACGCTTCCCTCGGCTCCACTTCCCCCCGGACCTTGCCCACTGGTGCACAGGAGAAGAGAATGAGTACCAACAGTGCGAGGGTGCCACCGGTTCTCCGACACAAGCAGTGTGCTTTGGCCAGCATACTGAAATGTTCCTGTGGCTTTAACACTGCGGTGTTGATAAGGTGCACCTGCTCTTCAAGTACTTCAAAACTAAGCAACAAACAACAGAGACGAAGTGGTCTCCACCTACACACACAGCATCAAAAGTCAAGCCGCAAGGCGATTTCACACAGTAATGCAGCAGGAATGGCTCCGTTGGGAGGCAGGAATAAGTTCCCTGCCGCTCCTTTTTTGTTCTTGATGCACTTTGATTTTCACCTACAAATTTTAGAAATGTGAGAAAGAAGATTCAACTAAAATACTAACTACTGACAGATTCAATTGTTTGACCAACCCAACGATCAAAATATACAGAAAGGGCAGGAAAACAATCGAAAAAAAGAGAAGATCTTGTGTGGTTTGAAGCCTGGCTTAAGTGCATGCTGGGCATATTCTAAAGATGAGCTACGGTACATGTACCAAAGCACCATTATGGCCGAGGAGAGTCCGAAACCTCATACAGACTGGCCATGCTTTGCTGTAACTACAATGTACATGTACAGAACTCAAACAGCTTCGGTGATAGCCACTAGATAAAATTACAGGTACATGTAACTACTATAAATGTCTGTGAGGGTAAAGTCGTCAGGTCCCTATTTTTGCCAAGAGTCTGATTGGTTTTCACAGTAAGTGCCAAAATAAGGGACCTGGCAACTACATGTACATGTATATGGTCGTGGACGTTATTAAGGTGAATGCTGGTCAACTCATATGCAAGCCAACTCATGCACCAATCCTCGGCATATTTTGGAGGAGGTCCGGACCTACATGTACCGCACAACAAAATGTTCCACTAGTGGAAGATTTCTCACAGTATCTTTGAGAAACGATCTAGTGCAAAGAATAACTATTTTTACAAAGCGTATGCATGAAGATGACAAACACACGTACATGTAAGTCAGCCTGTGTGACAGCAGCACGAGCCTTTAAATTAATTCCCAGCTACATGTACATCTAAGTTTTGAGCATGTGGACTGTACATTGCAATATAGCCGACTGCGACATGATTCTGCTACCGGTATTTTTGTGTCATTGTGTGAAAAAATCAGCGCCAACATTGGGCAACATAAGGTCGTTGAGCATTACGTCACTTGACCCCTCATCGTCTCAACGGCTGTTCCACCTTATTTTAAAGATGGCGACTGAGAGAGCGAGCCCGTTAGATTGAATGGAAAAAGGCAAAAAGACTGGAAAATACCTTAACAACATGAGTGAAATCATTCAATAAATGGCTTTTAGAAAGAGGAAAGGTCAAGAATCATGTTCGTGTGCAAAAGAAATTGCGCCCATGATGATAAGTGGGTGCGTCAGAATGTTCAATACGCCGACACGAAATTGCGTATACGGATGTGTGGCTTAGGATGGATCGGGAGTGAGAGTCCGTGCCACACTACTACCCCACTAGTAGTGGGGCTAACACGGTGTTTATGACAAATGAAATAAGTATTTTGTATTCCAAATTGAATTTCATTCATTCATTCATTCTGCTCAGTCTTGATCTTACCAGCTGATTGGGCGCAAATGGGTCACAAAACTGCATGTGCAGGGAGGAAACAACACGACATACGGTATACCCCAGTACGGGTCTTCCACCAAAAAGTGTGCGGGCTGGATCCGCGGCATGTACATGTATGTGATGAGTTGGTGATCGTCAGAGACCCAATGCCCCATCACGATAACTGCGTAAATGCCATCACACGCCTTGGTAGCAAGACGTAGTAAGCGATACAATGTCTCAGGACTGTACAGCGACTCACCAAAGAGGGCGCCCTTGCAGCATGTATTGTCTGCGTGCCTTCCACTCCATGATCCGTGCTCCAGCAGGAGCTATGTAATGATACTGAACACAATAATCATTTTCAAAGAATTGCCTGTTTCATTGACCGATTCTCATGGGAGGATAGATTAAGCAAAATCTGTACCAGAGTATTATTTCATATACACATAAAACATTGGGTTGAACATGTGGAAAAAATGAATGAAAATATTTTTCGTCCCCCTCCCGGCAAAAGATTCTGGGTTTGTCCCATCATTTTACGGGTAAAGTACGTTGGAGGTAATTCTACAAGTTTTAAAGATCCCAGCCTTTGCATATTTACAGTTTGCAGACTATTTTCTCTTTCCCTTTTTGTGGCATAAAAGTTCCTTGTGATGTATTAATTTATAACTGAACGCTTGAGAAAGCCCCCACATATGATGATTGATAATAAGTCTAAGTCTTGACAAGTGTGACAAGAAGCAGAACGGGAGATGCTGTGGGTGCCAGCCTGGGATGGTGATGAATAAATAGAACGTAGAATATAACCGTACCCAACCTGAGCCCGCCAATACTCCCACAATGTGCTCATGGTTTAATTCATACTTGTGTCTTTTCTTCTCCCAATGTACCCAATTAGTGCTAGTTAGTACCCCAAAACATGCGCCAACATTTTCAAAAACGTTTTTCTAAAAAAGGATAACAGTATGAAGTATAAAATCGTGGGCGCATGTGGGGTACATACAGACATAAGTTCGGTACATAATGAACGATATAGGTTTAAAACAGTTGGCACCTGTGGAAAATAGGCATGTTTGGTACGGTAAATGTTATTCCATATATTGCATTATTCATGACGAACACGTCATATGTATCAAACTACATGTAATTAAAGGCTAAAAAAGGTCTTAACTGTAACTGTTGAATTGAATGAACTAGCACGTTCACTGGTTTACATACAAAGTCACGTGACCTGGACCTCCATGGCAAGCAGAATGGGAGACTTTGAAACACTTGGTGGCGACAAACATACCGGTCCTTTTTACCAGATCTGAGCATGCGCGTGTTATTCTGAGCCTGCGTGCATACAGTTCTGAGCACGCGCAATACCTTGAATGTTGCACTACACCAATATACGGGTGCACCACTAAAAATAAATTCCCATAGACAGTAGTGACAAATCCCCATACTTCACAAATATTTTTTTAAAAAGTCCTCTTTCATTTTCCTTTTAATTTTTGGGGGGTTGACCAATGAATTTTTGAGAAATTTTCACCAGAAGCAGACCACCTCTAAAATGCAGAAAGTGTCCCTGTCCAGAAAAGTAGCCATTTTGAAAAACTATCCCTCGGCAAAATGGCTCAAATAGTGCCACTAAGTTCAAACCCGATTGCATCCAAATTGCTCAGAATTGGAAGCCTTGAGTCCTGCCCAGAGGTCCAGTCTCATATTTCTTCAATTTCTCAGTTCCATGGCTCTCAGGAACCTCTAATATAGAATATTTTGAGTCTATAACTTTTATTAATGAGCTTGGCGGGCATATTTCTGTCCCAAATACGAGGGTGCACCCATAGAAAACAGTGCAAATTCGGACCGAAATAGCGCCGCCTGTTGACTCTTGGGAAGAGGTTGGCCTCTTTTTTTTCGCCGGAAATTCAAGATTATGGCCAGAAGATCACTTTTCTTTTTAATTTCATGGGGTGAGCTACGAAAATACTTTTTAATTTGCCTTTGAACGAAGATACCCCCAAAATAGCAGTAAAACTAAGCGCTCATTTCTGAATGTAGCCGCCCGCTCAGTATTCGAAATCGGTCCGCAATTTGGGGCTTTTAGTGTAAGAAATACCCCGAACTGGAAACTATCAGTCCAAAATTCGGGACTGATAGAATTATTTCTATGATGCCTCCTGATTATGGCCCGTCTCATTGTAAAAATCCCGTGGGATCACAAATATTAATGAAGGCTTGCGCGCAGAAATACAACCATATTTTGGTCGAATGTACCCTGAAAAGGGAACAGTATGTCTTCTCCCACTAAGGTCTCAAAGTCTCCAGTGGAATGATACGGATAACAACTCAAAAGCATAAAGATTACAAACTACATAATATTAACCGCAGTATACTGAGCACTATACAAGGACTGCAAACGACACAACATGAGAGGGCACCCTCTTGTGGCTCATTAAAGATAGTTAATATTTTACAGGAGATTTATTTTCCATAATTTCACAAAAGCAGATAAAAGCCACTTGTTAGACAGAAATTATTGACTTTATCATCCCAGAAGTTATGGAAATGACAAAAATCAACATAATAAGTTTCCTCTCTATTTGACTTTGATTTAATTTAACATGCATACACTCCAGAGATGTTATGTTGTACAAATGATGAGACCAACAAGATATCTAGATGACATCGTGAAAATTCTGTAATGTCAGTTACTATCTCGCCGCAGCGAGATAGTAACTCGATTTTTTTTTTTTTGGGGGGGGGGGTAAGTGGCCCTTATAAGCCTCTCCCTTTGGAAAGAGGCACGTGTCTATTCGCTCGCTCGATCGGCTGGTTTCTACCGCAAGGCATTTAGGCATTAAGCAAAGCAGCAGGAACAGCTCACGGATCGAGGGGGTGGAGGGGGAGTGGTTTTGCGTTGCTGGCCCTTCTTGTAACCGAAATTTCGCGGTTTATTTTCGTCCGGCCAAAGACAATGCGAGACAATGGAGAAACTGCTATCGCTGCAGTAGCCAACACTCCTGGACGTGTACTGAGGATATCGCAACTGGAGGTGTTATACGTTCCCTTTGGTAGCACGGGACATACCTAGGCCACAAAAGTTCATAGGTGGTCCACGTGTGGGCGCTGTTTTAGAGCTGTTTTCAGCATTCCTTCATTTTTTTCATGGTCCTTATGAACCCGGAGTCAAGTGACTATGTTCAGTTGGCGATAACTCATATCAAGATGGCCCTTCTTGACAGCGGAATTTCACTATGACTCCACTCATTCAAGAAAATGTGATAACCCGCTTTCCGTGCACTTCCAATACAGTGGGTGGCACTTCATCCACCTGGCATAATACTGCCTCTTAGATGGACAACTTGCAGTTAATTTTCAAAGATCAAAACGTAGGTAAATGGATTCAGAGCCTGACAAAATATTATGATGGTTAATCTGTTCAGAAAGATCTGCGAATAGTTGGAATACTTTGCAGAACTTAGCAATTATGTGTTGTTGCAGGTCAGATGTAATGGATAAAATGTGGTAAAAACTCCTGTGGTATCAGGCTGGAATTTCAGCTCAGCATTCAGTCATGACATCTTCTTCTTCTTGCTTGTGGTCGTATCTGATCGATCTGTCCTATGAGGGGAAATCCACATCTCTCAACCAAGCCCTGGCGTCAGGTGTTAGGCTGCGGAGAGCGGTCCACCTGCCTTCCAGGCGATGGATATTGCATTGTTCGACCAGATGGTCGGCCGTCTGCACCTCATCACAGTCGCATCTGTCTGTGTCTGAAAAGTTCCATAGATGCATACAGGCTCAGAAGCGCCCAACGCCAGTACGGAGTCGATTCAGGCGGCACCATTCTTTACGCGGAAGGTCACAGCCAAGAGGGTGGGATGACAGAGGCAGCATGTTGGTGAGTCTGCCTAAAGACTGTTTCTCCTCCCACTTGTTAGAGAGCCAAGTTTTCCTGCTGAGGTTCTCAGTCTCTGTGGTGAAGGTTTGAGCAGACATGGTGAAGGGTTTTCTACTTTTAAGGCGCTGCCTAGGGAGGGCAGCAGGGACCTTGACGTGGAGGGGATGTGATTCTTCCATGGCAACTTTAAAGGTTGCCTGTCTTGTGGCAGCTTCTCTTCTGCGGTGGTGAGGTGCGATGCCTGCTAGTACAGGATGCTGATGAATAGGAGTGGGTTTCAGGCAGCCTGTTCGGAGGGCAGAGTTGAGTTGGGCGTCTACTCTCTTTGTATGGTAGCTGTGCCCCCAGACGGAGACGCAGTATTTGGCCGGAGCATAGGCAAGGGCAAGCGTGGAGGAGCGGAGGGTAGTGAAATCAGCTCCCCAGACTAGACGCGGCCGCACAGATTACGTAAGAGGCATACTCTTGCAGACACTTTACCAGCAACATTCTGCGTATGGTGGCGGAAGGTGAGCAAACGGTCTAAATTTCACTCTAAGGTATAAGAATGGAAGGTAGGCTTCATGGAGCTTGACTATAAGCTGATGGTCCGCCTCCTTATTATTCAGATGGAACACAGAGCAGGTGGTCTTCTGTGCATTGAATTTCAGACGCCATCGGTGGTACGGTATGCCTGTAAAATCTGCATGTCTTGGCTAAGGACGCTCTCAGCTTCCTTGAGGGAGTTTGAGGTGAAGAGGATGGGTAGGTCATCTGCGTAGGCGTATTTGGAGCTTTGGGTATGGGGCATGTCTGCTATAAAAAGATTGAAGAGTGCGGGCGCGAGAACCGAGCCTTGGGGAACGCCATTCTTAAGGGTTCTGGTTCTGCTTGCCCTTTCATCAATTAGTACTTTGAAGCATCGGTCTGAGATTATTTCTGTGATGACATGGACCATCTGTCTGTTTTGTAGGGCTAGGTGGAGTTTGAGGATAAGGCCAGGGTGCCGGACTGTGTCGTAGGCAGAGGAGAGGTTGATGAAAACGGCCCCGCATTTCTTCTTGTCTTCGAAGGCAGCTTCGATTTGGTCGACTGCTGCAAGTACTTGGTCCTCAGTGCTGCGCCCTTTCCTGAAACCTGCTTGTTCATTCGACAGAAAGTGCTCGAGGACGGGTTCAATACGATTGAGGATCAGCCGTTCAAACAGTTTCTGGGGCACGGACAAATGTGAGATGGGACGGTAGCTCTTGGGGTGATTGCTTGGATTTTGGGGCTTGAGGATGGCCACGACGTTTGCTCTTTTCCACTGGAGA